CCACCTTCCTTCCACCCACCCAGGGTAATTTAAGAGCCACCCCCCCCCCCCCTTCCTCCTTAAACCCGGGAACTTTTCGTTTTCTTGGGTCGGGCAGGCAGGTGTGGGCGTGAAACGGGGGTTTTTGTACCAGGGTGGAAACGTGGGGCCGGGGTTTTGGATGGAAGGGTGACGAAGGGACCGGGGGGGTTTTTGGTTTTTGGGTTTTTGGTGGTGGGGGGGGGGAAGGGGGGAAGAGGGTTCCGGCCAGGGATAAGAAGGGGTATAAAGAATTTAAGACCGGGGTATTTGGGTTTAGTTTTGGGGGGGGTTTGGGGAGGGGAGGGGAAGTGTTGTATAGAGGGGGGGAGAATTGGGGGGGGGGGGGGGGGAGCTATGATGGTGGGAGAGGATGGATAAGGGAGAGGCAGGATTGTACGCCTAGTTTCTTATAATAATCTTGATACTTTGTTAGATTGCGTTTGTGCATCTAGCCATCTCTCATCCATCTTTCCAACACCAACACCAAAATCAGCTCGAGTATCAAGACCAACTTCACAACCCCACATCCCGCGCCTCATCAGAGTTACAAAAAGGAAAAAAAAACACGAGTCAAAAGTGTGCCAAAAAGAACAATAATCTCCATTCATTTTCTTCTTTGACCAAACAACTAGACTACAATGGAATTGATGTAAGATGCAAAAATATCTAGTCCTACAGCCTAGGTTTGCACAATCCTTTTACAGCTTATTTGCTGTTTGTAGCTCGAGTATGCAAGCAAGAGGATTGATCGCAAGGTTGGAAAAGGGGGTGCAACCAAGTGCTTGGTGGAGGGAGTTGCTGGCATCGCAGCGCTGGGTTGTGCAGATGCAAATATAAATGCAAATGCAAATGCAGTACATGGCTATGAAAGCAAGTCGGACCCCATGAGAAGCCTGACCGCCCGGTACAAAAGGTATTAGAGGCCGTATTTTAGTGGCATAACTGTTATATACATGGCACGGGGGAACAAGTCGATGCAACATCGAGTCCTCTTCGTAGATGGTTGGAAAAAAAAGGAAAAACGCCCGTAGGTCGGTGGATATCGTAGATGTCGTGAACGGTACCATGTCTGGGTCTCCCGTAAGTGTACGTGGGCTTGTGCAGCCTGGGCTAGAAATTGGCTGCCGCGTTGGGACGTCCACCGGGATTGTGGTATTGTTCGAGATTGGACTGGAAGGGCGAGGCGCCGGTTCCGTTTTGTGTCTTGTCGCCGAGGGCAGCGCCGGTACCGAGGGTCATGTCGTCGTCGTCTTCCGAGACGCGGTTCTGCCTCTTCTTCATGCGCCAGAAAACGAGGGCGATGCCGCCCAGCAGGAGGGCGCCACCAACACCGCCGACAACACCACCAATCACCTTTTTGTTGGAGTCGCTCAGGCCGCCACCGTTGTCGCCCGAGCCTTCCTGTGAGGTGGGCGCATCTGTGATCAGGGTCTGGCCGGTGGTGGTGACGATGCTGCTGGTACCGGTAGAGGTAGCCACGACTTGCTGGCCATTGCTCACCGTGGTGATGACGGTGACGAACTCTTGCAGCGAGGTCAGCACAAGAGCACTCGTCCTGACGACAGCGGACGTCCTCGTAGCTGTAGGAGCGCTGGTGATCGAGGCCGGTGGCGTTGTGGATGCAGGCGTAGACCCAGAGGAAGGGCTCTCGTCGTCGTCTCCTCCTGTTGGCGTGGCGGGCGGCTGTTGTTGGGTGGGCGTGGGGGCATCAGAAGTGCGCTCAGTGGTGGACTCGGCATCAGGCGTTGATGGAGGCTGGGGTGAGGGTGTGGATGGTGAGGATGGTGGAGGGGGTGGTGGTCGTGATGTGGGAGAAGGCGTAGAGGGTGCGGGTGACGCGCCTGTGCCGCTGGCCTGTCGCTTCTCGCCGTGGTGCAGGTAGGCCTCGATGCCGTCGATGTTGAGGTCGTCGAGGCTAAAGGCCGTCGCGTGCGCAGCGAGCGCGACGACGGCGAACAACAACCACAGCCTGTGCAACATGTCTCTTTCTTTTGTGTGTGTGTGTGTATGGTTTCAGCTTCACGGGCGAGTACGCTCCGCGGCCTTCGTGG